CCCCAAAACCCCAAAACCCCAAAACCCCAAAACCCCGTATAAGGAAGAAGATTTTGATTTGGAATAATTATAAATTAATATTAAAACTAATGAACCCAGTTGAGAGTAAGTCTTTTGATCAACTTTTGAGAGAGGTTTGTTCAATGATGCAAGACCCAAAAGGACTAAGTCTCTAAGATGAGGGCCTGACATCTATCTGTAACTGATTCTTGTGTGGAATCAACATGCTGCTGGAGAGGCTATAGATGGATCTATAGCCAAGAGCTATATGAGACCATCAGAAGATGTTTCGAATCCAGCTATGATCGAGACAACCTTCCCTTGCATCTTGAAGGATCATCTTATCTCCTACTTATCCATTTTCAGATTGAAGATTCTTATCTTAATGATATAGTTATCAAGCCAAAAATTTTCAAACCAATCCCTTACAACCCATTGAAGCAAAACCTGTCTGCTTTCGGTAAGTTCATGCAACTTGATGAGCCTTCCTCTTGTTCCCTAGCTTACAACTGTTTAGGAAACTATCAGACTGCTTTCAGTAAAGTGCTGCCAAGATCAGAGACTTGCAACCCTCACGTATCTTGCTCTGACCACTCTGCCATCCTTTGCACTGGTAGCTCTCAGATGCCTTGCCCTGAAATGACCAATGCTAACCTTGAGATCCTCAATTCCTTCTGTCCTGAAACTCTGCTTGAGTACCTTCCAAAGCTAATAGAACTTAAGCATGAAGAACTGAAGAAAGGTAAGGTTCTATTACCATAAAGCCAAGGGTTTACCTTCCTCCTCCCCTTAACTCCACCTTCCTCCCTTCCCTCAATCCCTAACAGACCCTTTCTCTCTCTCTTCCTTTTCACCCCAATCTCATTTTTCTTCGTGACTACCAGCTCTTCAGTCCCGCCTTCAACCTGGCCGGGATTATCTAGAAGAGAAAGATGTTAAGAGAGTTTTAAATTTTATGAAGATATTAACCTGAGCTTTATAGATGACGGCATGATCGAGAAACTTACTTCGAAAGCACAACTTTATGAAAACTTCTACCTCCTGACTAAGAATGATATTAACCTGGAACTCTTGAAGGAGTTCAACTACGAAACAGTAGTCAAAAAAACCAAGTCTGGAAAGGAACAAACTGTCTTTGTCTGTGGTGAAGATGGCTGTGATAAGGAATTCTTAAGGTCCTGCAATCTTCTCGATCATCTCAGAATGCATAACGGAATCAAGCCAAACCAATGCAGATTCTGTGGAAAAACTTTCACACAGAAAAGTAACTTGACAAAGCACTTAAAAGTTCATCAAAAGCCAGACTTGAGTGACAGAAAGAGGTATCCATGCCCTAGATGTCCTGCCGCTTACACTGAGAGGTATAATTTAAAGGTAAGAAAACAGTCTAGCTTCAGATCGTTAGAAATTGAGCTTAATCGAACTCTTTAGTTTCTTCAGTTTTACTAATTTAGATACAAATTTTCTAGAACTTGGATTATACGATTTATTCACGAATTTCTTCTTCCCTTCTGGTCTAACTGTGGACTATAGAAACACTTTGAGAAATACCATAGGGGTGAGTCCTTCAATCAAGTAATGGATGAAAGTCAGTAACTATATTAATAAATGTTAAACTATTCTTTATCTAACCCATCCTCTTGCTTTTAAGTTTAGCTTCTGTGGTTATAATGGAATAGGATTTCACCTCCTTGCTCAAATACTTTTTGAATAAGGAGGGAAAACAGTACTAGAGAGGGGTCCAAGGCGGTTGAGGCTACTATAAGGTACCCCACTGTCCGACTCAGAGTCTTTAGGTCTGCTTCTTAGGGGTAATTACTATACTCCAACTCTACCGAATTCTAACATCTTTGATCCACCCATTATAATACTTTCGTGATAGAGGTAAGTTCAACCTCTGATCTTCACTATGGGGTTTTGGGGTTTTGGGGTTTTGGGGTTTTGGGGTTTTGGGG